AAAAATTCGCCGAGATTGGTGATGCACACCTGTACTCCCAGCTACTCCGGAGGCTAAGGCAGGAGAATCACTTGAGCCCTGAAGGTGGAGGTTGCAGTGAGCCAAGACTGCACCATTGCACTCCAGCCTGGGCAAGAGGGACTCTACCTCAAAAAAAAAAAATTATCAACAGCATATTTTAAATATGTGAAGTTTTCTGAATGTCAATTATACTTCAAAATAATATGTACTTTTTTGTGTGTTAATTATACCTCAATAAAGTTGTTTTTAAAAAAAATGACTAAAACAATGAATAGCCATTGACAATTTTTAAGAAAATGAGTACAATTAAGTCTATATTCCTGGAAAAAAGATAACACGGGTGGCAATGTAGAGGATGGAAGGAAGGTGAAAGAGACTAAAACAAGGATTTTAATCAGGGAGCTATTCCAAAAGTCCAGGTAATAAAACAAGAGAGATTATACAGGTCATTTCATCTCTTTTGGCCTCTACTTTCTTAGCTGTAAAATAAGGATACTACTTATATCACAGGGTTATTGTGAAGATCAAATAGAATACTATACATGCAAATGCTTTTGAGCTATTGAATGAAATATGGATATTAAAATACAATTATTAACATTGCAATTATAGACATATAATTATTTATTGTCCCTTTCTTCTAATATCACAGTATATTAGCGGTCTTCTAACTCCTAACCTGCTCTCAAACATATGGCCAGAGTTCTCTTTAGGTAGATAAATATCAGAACTTTCCTGGCCTATATGTGTGTAGGAATATATTCATAAGAGCTATGTATTTAGTCCAAATCTAATGAGAGCTCAGATCCTCCAGCCTCAAAGACAGAAGTTTAGCATTGATAGCTCCTGGGACCTCATTCCCTATATCATATACAGGTGTGATTACAGACAGGCAATAAGGCTTTTCCCCAGAGACTGAAGGACTGAACCATTTTAAAACATCCACTCACCACCTCCTCACTCAACAGTCTTTTCAGAGTTTTGTTTCCAGCCTCATACCTCATCCATTGACATATCCCATACTCTGCAAATTTCATTCTCCATTTCTTCATCAAGCTCCATCTGCTGCTCCTCATCATCTGAGCTAGATTTGGTGTTTTCAGGGCTAACAATCTTCAGAAACACAAAGAAAGAAAGCATGAATAAAAGTTGTCTACAGTACTAACCAGGTACCCAAGTACAGCAGGTGATTGAATAACATTTCCTTATAATGTTGATGAGAAAAAAATTTGATTCCTGGCCAGGGCCACCGTCTGTGTGGAGTTTGCATGTTCTCCCCATGTGTGCATGAGTCTGCTCCAGATACTTTAGTGTCCTCACACATCCCCAAAATTTGCACATTAGCATAACTGGTGTGTCTGAATGGTCCCAATCAGAGTGAGTGTGTGTGTGTATGTGAGTGTGCCGGTGAGGGGATGGCATCCTGTCCAGGGCTGGTTCCTGCCTTGCACCTTGAGCTGCTGGTACAGGCTCTAGCCACCCTCAACCCTGAACCACAGCAAGTGGGTTGGAAAATGGATGAATACAAATTATTATAAAACAAAAATCTGTAAAAAAGACAATAATCGTAGAGATGCACGACAATAAATTATATGGTAGGAAAATGCTCAGTAAGCCTGCCTTATTTGTTATTGTTTTTGGACTGTGCAGTAGTAAGAGGTGGTCATTTTTGCTTTGTAAACATTTATTCCTTCATTTAACACACCATCATTACTACCACCATCACTCACTAATTCACCAAAACTGGGTAAATAATTATCTTGTTTTTATTAATCTTTCTTCAATGTATTCATAACTCACATTTATCTCAATGTTTAATATTAGAAGTGTTTTGGGTCCTCATTTAGAAGTTTGGCGATGTTCTTGTGTCCAGAAATGTGCCACAGGAACTTAACTCGTTTATATCAATTAGCCTATGATAAAATTGGTTTCATTATCAGTCATTTTGCTTAAAGTCACAATTTCCAAGAACCTACTAATGTTAAGTGAAAACGTACTTTAATATTAACCCATAATCGTTTAGAAGTCACAAAGAGGCTATCAGCAAAGTATCTTGTCTTGCAAAAATCTTCTTTTAAAAACTTAGTGTCTTGGGTAGATCTATTCTTTCAACATTCACAAATACTGTTGCTAGGCACTGGGATGGATATATAAAGATGAGTAAGATATAATACCTTACTTTTAAGCTACTTTTTTTTTTTTTTTTTTTTACTTTTAGGATTTAGTGGGGAAAGGCATGTAAAGGGATAGTCATATTAGAAAAGGCTAAGTGATTCAACTGAATTGTGGACAAAGAGTTGTGGTAGCAAAATGATGGACCAATGACCTATTCCTGGGAGAAGATGTGAAACACTTCTCTTAGGAGGTGATACTTAAGCTAAATCTTGGAGGAAGAATAGTAGTTTGTCTTGTGAAGGAGAGAAGTGAGTATTCACAGGAAAATCCAAGTTGAGTTAAGAAAGGGCCTAGCATGTTGGGGAAGAACAGTTCAGTGTTGATGGAACAAAGTGTATCATGGAAAGATGAGGCCGGAAAATGTACAAGAGCCCTAAATACCAAGCTTCAAGAAATATGTATTTTTCTCCTAGGCAACAGGAACTAAGAGCAGTATCACGAATAGCCCTGTCTTTAAAGATTATTCTGGCAGCTGTGTAGAAAATGAACTGGAGAGGCCAGAGATGGGAAGCAAAGAAACCAATTAGGGAAATACGGGGAGAAGAAAACGCATATTTACTGACAGCCTCCTGTAAGTCAAACACCATGCTAAGCACTCTATGGCCATTATAAGCTCACTTAACCTACACAATAACCCTATATATAATAATATAAATATTATAAGCCATTTTATAGAAATTAAGAGAGAAATAGAGGTTCTGAGCCATTAGGTAACCTGCAACTAGTAGGTAATTAAATTGTGTTTTTTGATTTTTTGGTGTGTTTTTTTGAGACAGGGTCTCACTCTGTCCCCCAGGCTGGAGTGCAGTAGCTGGATCATAGCTCACTGCAGCCTCCAACTCCAGGCTCAAGCGATCCTCCAGCCTCAGCCTCCTGAGTAGCTGGAACTACAGGCATGCACCATCATGACCGGCTATTTTTTTTTTTTTTTTAAGTTTGCAGAAACCAGGTCTCTCTATATTGCCCAGGCTGGTCTCCAACTCCTGGCTGAAGCGATCCTTCCGCCTCGGCCACCCAAAGTGTTGGGATTACAGGCGTGAGCCACCGCACCTGACCAGAAGCCGCGTTCTTTATATAAAAGTTGTATAACCCTAAAGTCCCCATTTACTCTAATACAACGATAGTCCATGACATACATAAATTAAGGACTTGGGGTTCAGAAATGACAGTGGGGCTGGGGAGCAAAACCCAAGCAATGTAGTTACACGATCATGTATTTCTGGAGAACTTGCAAAAGCAAAATATAACCCCAAGAATTCCAGCATCCCTGCCATTATACTTTCCTTTGTGTCGAGAGACCTGGAGACGCCCCAGATAGTTTTGGGGTCCGCAGCAGCGGGAGAAACGCAAGGAGCGAGGTCCCGCAGCGCGCGCCTGGGGAGGAGTCTTCGTGGGGATGGCGGCTCCCGGGGCGGTAGGAGCCGCCGGAGATGGAGCCCGGGTGCCTGAGGGATGTGAGGAAATCCCACGCGTGGCGCGAATTTCCACACCTGGATGAGTCCGCTGAGGACGCCAAACAGCCAGTGTTTGCTGTAGACCGTGCTCCCTATGCAGTCTCCCCCAGCGACCTCCTCCTCCTCCTTGTTGCGACCGGGCGGCGGCGGCGAAGGGTTGCGATCCATAACTTGGCCGCGTCCCGCGCAATAGGGCTGCGTCGGAAGCTGCAGAGGAGACGATAGGCGTCCTCGTGCCAGAGCGCCTGGTGCAGCCGGCGCGACTCCCCCTACAGCGCCGCCTGCTGTTGGGAGCCTGGCCAGCCTGAGAGCCAGCCAAGATAGCATTACTTCTCCCCACCCCATCCTATTCAGTTCCCAGGCAAGAACATACTCATTATTTGCCACCTTCACTGAATCACGTGTTCCATTTCTCCAGGAACCCTTAGCCTGATTGAAGAAGGAAGTGTAGGGGACAGGGAGGAAGCCTCAGGAACAGATGTGAATCTCAAAGCTAGCCGACCTATTCCATTCGCCTTCTGTTCCTAGAATCCTCTGATCTCTGGCCACTGTTGCCATTCCTAAAATATCCGTGGGCGAAGCCGGATGACTTGTGAGGGATTTCAGGGATCCAAACTGATTCGAAAAGCTAAAGAGGCACCATTTGTTCCCATTGGAATGGCTGCTATTGCAGCCGTTTATACAAATTGAAGAGCAGGGGAAATACTAACAATATCCCATCAGCTGATCTCATGCATGTGGCAGTCCAGCTTTGTTATAGGAGCAATGACTGTTGGTATGGGCTATTCCATGTATCTGGATTTCTATGCAAAACCTAAACCTTAGAAGAAGAGATGTTGTTTTTGTCTTGTTGGAGTCACTTGCTTTAGTTATCCATCTCATTATTGAAGTTACATGTTTATGTTGAAAATAAATTATTTGAGTAGGTTCAGATGATAACACGGTGTTCTGAATATTCGTTTCCTTTCGTGTAGGCTTCATTTGCCTGGTGACCAAATTATTAATGACTAATTCACTAACTAGATCATTCAGGGGAGTCAAATTAACGCACAAGAAACACATCATCTAAATGCACTTGATGGTGTTAAGATGTCCAACTTCTTAAACTGTTAAGATGAAATTAATACTAAGGAAGATAGCATACCAATCCTGAAGTACTCCCAGTTTGCTGCAGGATCTTGCATGCTTTGAATACTGAGTCCAATTTACCTCACTTAACTTTTTTCTGTCTGTCTTGTGGACTGGCTGGCTCTTTTAGAACTCTTTCAAAAAAGTACTTGAAATGTAACTTGTAAAGCCTCCCACAACTGACAGTATTGTGTGCATGTGTTTAAACCAAATCTAAAAAGCTTACTACAGAGCTGTATAGTATAAGTATTGATTAAAGAACCACAATTGTAAAAATGAGAAAACCTTAATTACGGATTTCAGTTTAGCACTTTCATAATTGCAGAATTATATTTTTGTTGCTGTTTTCTTAGAATAATTTTTCAGTATCATCTTGAAATAGAAATATGTATTTTAGGCACCCATGCACAAGTAAATAAAAAACTCTTTAAATGAGTGCATTATTTTCTTTGCGAGAATCGTAAACATATTATGATGGAATTGATTTATTACAACACCCACTTTGATTTAATGAAATGAAATTTATAGATGATATAACCTACTTCCATATGAAATTTCAAAAATATCAATATAATGTCCAAACAGGAATGGAGACATGAAATTATTTAAAATAAAATAATGTGTATTTGAATATTTTAAACACTCAGTCACAACTATATTAGAAAACATAATGAAGTGTCCAATGTTTGCCTAGAATCACTGTGACACTTATGTCAAAGTCAAATAAAACATAGAGATTAATTTCTAAATTTAAAGCATTTTATTCAGTAAGTAAGAATTGCCATTCAGGGCATACACACAGATGAGACAGGTGGTCATCTTCTATATATCTGAGGAGCAAAGAAAAGATTGGGGTTTTACAAAAAAAGATAAATGTTACATGTTGTTTTGAAATAAATTTTATTGGCTTTAGTAAGTGTTGGAAATAGATGCTTGGTGCCACAAAGAAAAATTAGAACTGAGACAAGGGATTTTTCAGCAACACAATTTTTACTTCCTGGACTGCAAGAAGTGTACTCCTGTAGTCGTCGTGTCCCAAGAGTGTAATGAATAAAGGAACACACACAAATTTAGCCCTTAAGCATTTGGGGTTGTCCTTACTGCTGTGTCTGATCTCCATTGGCTGGAGCCAGACCTCACAACCTAAACTAAAACATGATTGGCTAACAACTTAAAACTTTTCTAAACAGGTGAAAGCAATGGAAAGCTAGGACATGCCTGTGAGCACGTACAGCACAGATATCTTGGTTAAAGTACAAGGACATAGAGTGTACTACGTGCCTGTAAGCATGGCATATTTAACAGCTACATAGGATAGGGCTTAACAAAGTTATTAGCACACCTATTCTTTAACAAGAAGGGAAACTTTAAAAAGGATCTTTTCTACTTTCCACAGTAAGGTTTGGGTGAACTTGCAAGCTAGGATTGGTGAGAGCTGGCAGCAGGTAAAATTAGTCTGAGAGTCACAGTAGGTTGTTTCTGCAGCTGTTAGATAAAACTGGTCTCCATTTTACAAGAGGCAGTTTCAGCAGCCAGGCTTGCAGAAAGTTACTTTTTTGGAGCAGTGCCATGTGCTCCAAGTGCTTTTTTCCCCCTGGCCTTTCGACCCTGTTTTAGTTGGGCATGACCAAAATGGCCCAAGTTGTATAATCAACTTTCGTACCTAGAATCACTGTAAACCCAACCATTATAAAGGCAAAATGATATAGGGTAGTACCATCACAGATGTGCCTTTTCAAAATCTTGAACATTTAATTATTAAATTTCTACCAAAACAAAGTTCCAGCTGACTCAGTAATTGTATTTCTGGAAATTTAAAAGTCTATTAAAATTGGGCAAAAAATAATCTGTGTTAATATATAAAATGCAATTGACTCCTATGATCAGATAACTATAAACATGTTTTTCACCTTATATGCAGGGGTAGATCCAGGTTTTGTAGAGACTAAGTTATGACATTTGGGGAACCCTCTTTAAGGTAAAACAGAATAAGTTTACAAATATTACGTTAGTTAAAATAAAAATATTATTTGGAATGGGAAAAAAGAAATCACAACGAATTACCATTTTAAATAATTGACAAGTACCACAAACATCACAAAAGCCAGTACAATAATGAAATATGTTTACTAATAAACATACTGACATACTTCTACAGTCCTTTTTCAACATATTTTTGCTGAATTTTCTTTTATCATCTCTCCATATGACAATGATAATAAGATAATTTCTATAGATAAAGAGGTAGTTCTCGTCTTCCTATAAGCGAGAGCTTAAAGAAAAAAAATGAAAATAAAGAAAAAAGAAATAAAAATAGGTAGTTCTGTCTTTAGCATAATTGGGTTTCTTTATTATTATTGGTAATTTACAAAAGTTTTTTTCAGCTTCACAAAAGTTTGATAATATTGTAAATTTTTGACTGTTGTCAAATTTGGAAAACCTTCTTGTAGGGAGAACTCCATTTTGACTAGGATTCAATGACCATCAAATCTTCTGCTATGATTTTACAGTTCTCCATGGACTCATGTCTCTGTACATTTCAGATTTGTTTCTTCTCAGCTTCCCACATACTACTGTGTTGGGGCCTATAGGACATGTTCATATTGACGTATGACCTCTGCTTTTGCACCTGTGAGTCATCTCAGTAGGGAGTAGGAGCACAATTATGGGCCTTCCCTACTCCATGACAGCAAGCAATGACTTAATTATACTTCAAAGTGACTGCAAACCACAAAAATATATCCCCCTAAGTGGAAGCCATCTGTATTCCTAACTCCATGTCTCCTCCTTCAGATCCAAAAAATGCCTGTAATCACCCCAGTGCCACTCAACACAAGAGGAAGTATGATGGTGGGGATGTTGGCATGCACAGAGTCCAAGGTATTAACTGCTTACAGTTAAAATATTTTACTTTGTTGGGAGGCTGAGGTGGGCAGATCACCTGAGGTCAGGAGTTCGAGACTAGCCTGACCAACATAGAGAAACCCCATCGCTACTAAAAGTACAACATTATCTGGGCATGGTGGTACATGCCTGTAATCCCAGCTACTCAGGAGACTGAGGCAGGAAAATCTTTTGAACTTGGGAGGTGGAGGTTGCAGTGAGCTGAGATCATGCCATTGCACTCCAGCCTGGACAGAGTGAAACTCCATCTAAAATTTTTTTTTATTACTTTGCAGATATTCAAACTATTTGGCCATATGAGCACTTTGCTAGGGCCTCTCCCAGAGGCCCTTCACTTGGCCAAATGATGAAGCTTAAGCTCCAGGTCCCCTCACTTACATGGAGCCATTCAAGGGCTCCATTCAAAGGCTCCATGTAAGTGAGGGACCCTGAAGTTTAAGCTTCATCAGTTTCACAGTAAATCTGCCTCTGCCTAGATGCACATCAGGCAGCACAGTTCAAAGGCAAGCAGGATGCAGGATGATTCTTAGTTTTCAGCACTTCCCATGCATTGTAAGATGCATGTATCTCTGACCCATCCACTAAACACCCACCAATTATTGTGCCAACCAAAAATATCCAAGAACTGGGATGGAGATGGGAGTGGGGTCAGTACTGTCCCTGTTGATCACTAAGTTCACTGATCTCTCTCTCTCCCCCAGGGAATGACAAGTCTTGAGAGGAATTATTATGCCATTCCCAAAGAAGTCGGCACGTTCAGCAGCATCCCCCAAACCCCAGTGCCTAACTCAGCCTTTTATACTGCAAGAAGCAGCACATTGGGAAACAGGTTGAAAGATCTTCCTTGAGGTCTTTATTCTGTCTTTGAGGATGATTTAAAGGTTTTTCCCAGCAAGACAAAGATTGTCAGTCACACAGATCCTGTCCTGAGCAGCCCATGAGACAGTACTGGTCCCTGAAGCAGACAGAGATTCACTCCATGCAATTGTTCCTGTCTTGACTCTCGCTCTCCCTACTAGCTCCAGGAACCTGCATTACCTGTTTTTTAGCAGCCCGTGAACCCTCAAGCCCCTTGTGTGTGTGATATTTCCATGAGCATGGAAATATTTGTCCGAAATCCTGGATTGTCTTTATGCATGGCAGAGTAGACTTCCAAGTGTCTCTGCTCCCTGGAATGCCAAGAACACATGAAGTAATTACAGGATGCTGA